AAATACCTTCTCCTGGTATTTGAAATACTTCCACGCACCAGTTCTGTCCAATATGTAATAAATAACAATAACAATAATAATAATAATACATATTGGACAGAACTGGTGCGTGGAAGTATTTCAAATACCAGGAGAAGGTATTTCGTTTTAACTGTTTAACTCTCTCTACCCCGGCCCCGTTTAAATTTGAACAACTTTCCTAATAGAAGCTTCTACCTGCCCCGTTGCTCAGCGGTATGGAAAGGAAGCCCCGCCTTGAGAGCCACCGGGCAATTCTCCACTATATACCAAGTGAGTCCCGGGAAAGAGGAAGAAACGGTTAGGTCGGAAGTTTTAACCATGTTTTTTTCCGGCATAGATTTAAAAAAAAAAAAAAAAAAAAAAACCGCACGCGCAATGACCTCACCTATCCCGGAGATGTGCCTGAATACGTCGGATTTGTTCATCGTAATCGCCTTTATCGCAGCCGGCAACAGCGGGGTTTCGGGCACCGTACACAGTTCCAGTCATCGTACAAACGCCGCAAACAGGCCCGACGCTCTCTTGTTTATTTTCCGTGGTCTCTAAGCTACAAAAATGTGTTCCCGACATGCAACACGGCCAGTTCACGACTCTAATTCGCAAGCCAATCATCGACGAGGAGAAAGCCGCGCCCCTCGCCCCGTACGCTCAAGCAATCAAGATACAGTACCGTTAAAGAAAGTGGCAATCGGCTTGTATGCCAATATAATTAATGAAAGAAACCTGGGCTCAATTCAGAGGTTAAATAAAGGTAAGTGTGATTTCGGTAGCAGCTTACTCCATGGGCAGTTACTCAGAAGTCAGCAGTAGCAAATTTAGTCGGTAGTATGTTATTGGATAAAATCAATGACATTCAAAAGCAACTGCATTTAATTGGATTAGCACGATTGTTTAACTCACATGGATTGGTGTACTTTTTTATCTGTAAATAAGTGATGAGTTCAAGGGATTTAGCTTCAAGGGTTGTTACTTAATTTGTATGCACTATTATTAGTCACGTAGCAGAATCATCTAGGTCTTGACTAAATCACGTATCAGTCAAAAAGATGTCAAAAAAGCGTTAAAAACTTTTAACTGAATCTGAACTTGTCAGCTAGGTCTGTAGACAACTTGAAATAGATGGATTTCAACTTGTTTTTATCTTAGAAAACCTGCACACCATATCACATTCTCATTGTCAGTACAGGATTCAGATTATTGGTAATTTTATGGATTTAGTTGGAATGCTATAATAAACAAATTTAGATTCCAAATCATTTTGTTCTCCTTGTGACTGAACTGTCCTTTTCACCACTCTTCTCATAATCCTACGTTTCAATTGCATCCTTCTGTGAACTCATATTGTATTTGCTAATTGATCATACTGCTTGACTCAGAACAAGATAATAATAGCAGAACATTCAGTCCTTGTGCAGATTGCAAGCATACACATTATTATAAAACAACAGTGGCTGAGTCCATAATTGCAGTAATCCATGGTTGGTTTGAAAGTGGTTTATTGTGTATACCAGAGTGGGTGGGTTTTCGCCATGGTTTAAAAACCAGTTGAATTCACAGCATGCTAAACCAGATGCAAGATGTCTTATGTTGAGTACAATGTGTAAATTGGACATCCTTTACATTTATTTTGCAATGATTTTAACAAGTAATGAAAATATAAGGAAGTAGACTTTGTAGAATAATGCTCCAAACTGGAGTATAATTGAAATATAACAACATAAACATGGATCTTTATTTTTACTTTTCCTGTTGACAAAAGTTAAAAGAAATTTTAAAAGTATGAGAAAGATGAAGTAAAAATAATCAGTTGCAAAAATGTCAAAAAAAAAGTCTGACAGATAATAGCATTGAGAAAGCTTTTATCGTTTTTAGTTTATCAGCTTTTTTCCTGATTCCTCCAAAACATAACAGTTACATTCAAAATCTGTTGGAGTCAAGGAACTAGGTAAGTTTGTTACTATATTTACTCATGAGAATCTAGAATCAAAGCAAAAGAAATCTAGTCCTATCAAGATGAAAAAGCAATCACTATCTCCTGAATTTTAACTAAATTTCCATGGTCCATCCCATTTCTCTTTCCTCTTAAAATCACTTCTGATCAAACTAAAAAAGTGCATCTTGAACATTAAAAAAAACCCATTGAGGAAATTCTACTTTATTCATTCATCCATTGATTTATCTATTTTATACTTTTTCCTCTAAAAGAGAAGATAAAAGCATTGAATATTGTTCAATTAGCCTGAAATATCTTAAATATTTCACAGTTAACAGAGAATAAAAATAATACCAAACTTATGAATGTTGTAACTATTATAGACTAAATAAAATTTAGTAACAAATAATAAAATTCCAAGTAAACAACAAAACTCAGCACCAAGGACTCCTCAATAATAAAATTCATCAACATTTTAGTCAAACATAGTACATGTATGTATGTATAATCTGTATCTCCATTCCAGCAGTCATTGTACTACTGTACCATGCATATAAGAGTAAATCAACAGTAAACCAAAAGGAAAACAAAAACAAAAACCTAGCCACAACCTAGCCACAAGTAATTCATTATTAGCACAAGATTCAGAATTTCCATTTTCTATGCCTTCCTGATCTGTCCCCTTACAATGGCTTCATTAGTGCACTAGAAACAATTATCCTTCCAATGATGACTATAGCTCTGAAGTAATCTCATAATAGTCTCCATTTCAGCTAGATCTTAAAGATTTAAACATTTTACTATAGCATAGTAGTTGTAAATCATAATTCTTCCACAACATTCATGGAGTACAGTATGACCAGGGAGAAAAGTGTTATATATCCATCCTTCAACAGCTGGGAAAGATAAGTACATACAGTATATAATGTGGGTTTACAGATCATGCTAAGCTGCATCATGTGTGTGTTTTCTTTTGTTTTGGTCTAATGTATTTTGTCAACCGCTATGATTTATAAACTTTAAGGGGATTGGAGGCTATATTTCACATACAGAAATATGTCAGGATTGTATTTCCAAAATAATAAATAGACCTATGAGGTAAATAGAAACTAATTGGATGAGGTTTTGTTTCTAATTATAACCATTCTTCATCACCTTGCTTACTATAATCACTATTGCTGTTATTACCACCAAAATTATTATAATCATTGGGAGAAACCCCAATGACCATGGAATCTGTGATCTATTCAGTGTAGTAATACAGTGAGTGAGAGGTCACCAAAAATTACTTTCCTGTTGCAGTGCTTTTAGAAGTGTTAGAACTGTATATAAACATATCTAAAATTATTAAATGACAATAAACTTATTATCTCATTGTTTGGCCCAAGTGTGCTTGCAGTCTGTCCAACTCTTAGAGGTATTAAGTGGAAAAAGCTGCTAACTACATTAGCAGTTTGTAACTATCATACATTTTTATAGAACTAAATTTAATTAGTATATAATAAATTTGGAAAATAACACTGGAATACCATCCTTGCTCTGTCAATGGTTCCGGGTTGTAAGGAATGTTAGATATACTTCATATGAGTTCAAATATAGCTATGTATTTTAAATATATACTTATATAATATATAGGTATATTGGATTTTCAAATAATGTTTTTAAAAGATTATTCTTTTTAAACTGGATATGTTACAGTTCTAAAGTACCTTATTACAGAAGCTGTGGACATGACTAGTACTGATTCCTTATTGGTTAGACATTATTAAAATGGTTAATCAGGTTCTTGGATGGAAGTTAAGGGTCCAAGTGCTTTTAAACTATAGTCCTCAATATTTAGAATGTTTCAATTTATATAGAAGTTTGGCTATATATTGTCTTTGGATTTTTCTGAAGAAGACAATTACATATTCCTGGATATTTATGTAACAGACATTAAAAGTTGGCTTATTAAAAATAGTCATTTCTCAGCCTTTGAACTGGCTTTATACTGAATAAGAGGCAAAAATAGATAATATTCCTTATAGTCTAAGTTCAATTCACTGTTTCAAAACTGAATGGTAACAATTTGTGTTAGTATAAAATTAAGAACCTGACATTATATAATAGATGAAAATATGATTTTGAAATTTGACAGTTTTGATAATGTTTTCTATTTCCAATTATGTCTATTTAATTTTTTTTATTTCTGTTTTTTTAGAATTTGTTCCTTTTTTAACATTCCTAGTGTTTTGTTATTTTTTTTTTTTCATTTTCATCATGTAGTAACTTTTATAATAGCTTTTGGTCTATATAATTTTAAATCTTTCTTTTTCTGTTTATTGTTTGCTTTGGAAGGTAGGAACAGTATTTGTTCTCCTTGGATTGTCTGACACATTAATTTTTGGGGGTGGGGTGGGGGATTTCTCAGTGATAATGTATAATCAAACCATCAGTAAATTTCATTTGTATCCTAGGATGCATTCACAGTTCATTTGTTTCTGGAAATTTTGATCTCATTTAAAGTAAATACACACTGACTATGTCTCAGTTAACCTCAAACTACAGTTATCTCAAAGCTATTCTTTGCAACTGCCTAATGAAACAGATATTGTAGGAAAAGACCAAGACTTTTTTTCTTAGTTATGCTGCCATTTTCACTGAGCAATTGGTACTACAAAAGATCCTGAAGTCATGGATTTCACCGCAGGCCTTTGGCAAGAATGATTGATGCCCATTTTCTTCATTTTCATCTTTCTACCTGAGTGTGTGTTTTCTCTGCCATCTTTGTTCCTTTTATTTCATGTTGTTGTTTTTTGCGGGGAGGGGGTTGCATTCTTAATTTTAGATGTTTTTAACAACTGATGAACTGCACTGGTTAATGGGAGTCAGGTGGCATATATATTTAATAAATTTCTCAGAGTGAGATTCAGATTAGCAAAGTGACTGTTCAAAGTTACAATGGCCTGTAGGCCAGACAAGGAATAATGGATGGAAACTGAACAACCTGGAAATAAGGAGAAACTTTCTGAAGTGAGAACAATCAACCAATGGAACAGATTGCCCTCAGAAGTTGTGGGCGTTCATCACTTGAGACTTTCAAGAAGAAATTGGACTGCCATCTGTCAGAAATGGTATAGGGTCTCCCACTTGGGAGGGCGGGGTTGGACTAGATGACCTACAAGGTCCCTTCCAACTCTGATTATCTGTTATCTGTTACTGAAAAAAATGATTTATGACCATTTTTCACACTTATGACCATACTTATGACCCCACAGTCATGTGATCAAAATTTGGCTGCTTGGCATTTGGCATGTATTTATGATGATTGCAGTGACCTGGGATTATATGATAATCTTTTGCAACCTTCTGATAAGCAAAGTTTATGAGGAAGCCAGATTCAATTAACAACTGTGTTACTAAGTTAACAACTGCAGTGTTTCACTTCACAACTGTGGTAAGAAATGTCATAAAATGTGGCAAAACTCACCTAACAATTGTCTTGCATAGCAGTGGAAATTTTGGGCTCAACTGTGCTCATAGGTCAAGGATTACCTGTATGCAAACATTTTATTATTACATTTTTAATATTGCAATTTTTGGGGTTCATATCACTAGGATTCTAATATAAAACACCTG